TAACAATGGAGTGATTTTTTTTGTTATTGTAATCCTTGTAGCTGTTATCATTCTCAAGTAATTTTAGAATGTAATGTTTGATAGTGTAAGCCTCTATTTTAAATGAAATTCAAGATTAAATGAATGCATGAACTACAACATATGCCAAAACACATAGGCCAAAACAGAAATAAACAAACATATAGCAAAACAGCCAACCAAATCCTTATATCATATCCAAAATACTGGTCAAATTGTACCCACATCCAACTTAAACAAAAGAACTAACCACCATAGCTAAGACTGGTCAAATTGTTCCAACATACATACTGTTGATACACAATTTGGCCTCGATTAATAATAAGAGGACACGTGGATGTGTATTAGATAAATATAAATATAGCAGGTTTTTCGAGCTGATTATTTAATATCAACCGAGTTCCGAAAAGTCTGGATCGTCCACGTTCGAGCCGAGTAGGATTAAACATCGCCAGCCCAACCCGAATATCGAGAAGATCCGCCTCCGGTAGATACATTAATTGTCGATGAAGTAGACGTCACACGAAGCCGTCAAGTGTCACGATCGGGGCCCACAATGTCTTTTCACATTAAATACTAGTGTACTTTTTCTCCTATTTTTTTAATTGGCCCACTTGTAAAAAAGGGCATGTATATATATAGTGAGGAGAGAGAAGAGAAAGGGGGGGATTTTTTCACTATTCATTGTCTTCTACAACACACCAAATGAACAAAGAATGAAGGATCTTCATCTCCCAAAAAAAAAATCAATAAAAATATTTATTAATCCAACACCGATTATTCACAGAATAGGGGTGTATATTTCCGTTGATCAAATCCGTTTATCAACACATACCACATCCAACTTAAACAAAACAACTAACCACCATGGCTAAGAAACAAAATATTGGTTCATTCCAGCAAAACAAAAAAAATAATAATAATAATAATAAGAAACAAGCAATGAAAGGCCATTTCAAAACAAGCAGTACATGCCTTACTGAGTAGATCTTTGAGGGCCAGTGTTGTGGAAAAAGCCTTCAACAGGTCCAGTAGGCTGAGATGGATCAGTAGGTTGAGATGGACATGGACCAGCAGGCTGAGATTGCTGCAAATTTGTCATGGATGTACAAAACCAATTAACATTACATTTTATGAAATCTAATGCATAACATGATGAAAATAAGAATATACCTGTCCAGAAGCACCAGAATTTTCCCTAGCCCGTTTGATGCAACTCCTTTTATTGTGATTTTTACCCCCACACAATTTGCATATCTTAAGCTGACCCTTTCTGCTCACACTTCCTCCCATAGCCTTCTTATCATTACCATCAGCCCTCCTTTTCTTGGTTGGCCTACCTCTTTTTTCATAGGATCAGGTGGCTGAAGTGGGCCCATTCAAGACTCCTCAAAGTCATTCATCCCAGGAACAGGGTTGATCATATGGCTATACACCTTCACATACATTTCTTTTTTGAAATGATCAGACACATAGTCAGAAAGATTAAACCTGTGATATGAGATACATGCCAATGCATGGCAACAAGGATACCCAACCAACTGAAACATGCCACAGGTGCAACTTCTAGCATTCAATTGCACAACATGACTCTGAACCCCATGCACCACCTCATACTTATCTTCTCCACCCCAAGTTGGGTAACAGTTTCTGCTGAAGCTCTTTTGTTCTTCAATTTTTCTAATTGTGTTTGGACATATATCCTCTGCATATTTTTCAATCCCAACTCTCTTGACCTGCATCCTTGCCATCATTCTTCTCCTTATCCACTCAAACATGTCTATGATAGCCATATCTCTACCTTCCAAGATGTAACTGTTGAAGGACTCTGACAGATTATTCACAATAACATCACACAGTGCATTGGAAGTGAAGAAACATCTTGCCCAGTGCTCTTCAGGGATAGCCTTAAGCCACTCAAATGGAGTCACCTTTTCATCTTTCTTTGGGACAAGTCTGTGGATTTATTTCATACACCTAGTGTGTTCTCTCACATTGTATGTGCTGGCTGCCTTCCAAAACAACTTTCTTAATTCCAAATCCCCCCATTTCTGCTTGAAATTGTTGTAAATGTGCTTCAAGCAGTACCTGTGTTCTGCCCCTTTGATTTGACCAACAGCATCAAGCAAGCCTTTCTGTCTATCTGAAACAAAGGTCCACTTCTTCTCCAGGTATGGGTCAATATCTCTTAACAACCTTTGAATGAACCAATTCCAAGAGTCCATCTTCTCAACTTCCACATAGGCCATTGCAATAGGCAACATGTTGTCATTGTCATCCCTGCCAATAGCTGATAGTAGTTGACCACCATGTATAGTCTTCAGAAAACATCCATCAAGTCCTATAATGGGCCTGCATCCAGTCACAAAGGCCTGCCTCATTGCACCAAAACAAACATACATCCTGACAAACTTTGGAGGTGTGAAGTCATGCTTCAGTTTCAGGATAAGGGTGCTACCAGGATTGTACTTGACTATAGTGGTACAATAGTCATACAGTCTCCTAAATTGCTCCCCAATGTCAGCCTTCAACAATGACAAACCATAAGCTCTAACTCTGTACACCTTGTGAATACTTATATCAACCCCACAATCTCTCTTAATTTTGTTTCTCAGACTGTGGAGTGGCTCAGCAGGATTGTCTCTCAAAGTTTCAAGCATCCTTCTCCCTAGGTACTTGTAATCTGCCTGTTTGTTTTCTGTTCTGTAAGCACAAGAGTGTGTGCCTTTCAGGATCTTGATCTGAAATGTTGACATGTCAGATATGACTGAGGCCCTCAAAGACCAGTCACACCCACTTTTGCACTTTGCTGTGATGAGCTTAGCTTCATTCTTGGGATACTGCAAATCATAACCTTTTCTGACAGACCAGTCTTTAAGAACCTCCTTGAATTTGGCTCTGTTTGGAAATTTCAGACCAACCTTTAGCTCAAACCTTGCCATATTCATGCCATCATTCCATTCATCATCCATTTGAAAGAACTGCTCATCATCATCCTCAATATCACTGTACCAATCTGATTCATTAGACTTTTTCTTCTTTTCAGCTTATTCTCTTGCTATTTTTTTCTTCTTTCTTCTCTGTTTCATCCATTCTTTAGCCATCTTGTGAACCTTCTTAGCATGACCAGGATCCCTCTGCTGGAATATATCATCATCTTCAGGGCCTTCTAAATCTTCTAACTCCCATTCAGACAATTCAGATGACATGTCATCACTACTTTGGCCAGGTACATACATTTCATCCTCTGAATCATCTAAATCCTCACTGTAGTGTCCTTCATCCTCATCATGTGATCCAGATTGTCCCTGTGGTGTAGTCTCCTGAGACATCTCCTGTTGTTGGCCACCATGTGATCCACTGTGTTGTGCATCAAACTCATGAGGCATCTCTTGTTGTTGGCCACCATGTGATCCACTGTGTTGTGCATCAAACTCATGAGGCATCTCCTGTTGTTGGCCACCATGTGATCCATTGTGTTGTGCATTAAACTCATGAGGCATCTCCTATTGTTGGCCACCATGTGATCCACCCTGTTGTGCTTCAAACTCATGTTGTGCTCCATCTTCAAAAGGTAGATCATCTTTCTGCCCTCCAGGTTCACCCATATAGCTTGGTTCTGGTATGGCTTCTGTAGTTTCCTCAACAACCTCATTTATAAAGCTCTCTTGAGTATATGGATACTCAAGAAGAGGTACTCTTCTTGTGAACTCATGAGGTTCCCATCATTGTCTATCCCTTGTACAGGTCCTTGTAAGTCCTCAAAGTATAGTGGAATCACATAAACCCCATTGTACATCTTCACCAACTTAAGGACATCTTTATCAGAGTCAATATTTATTAGCTTTCCTGTCTGTAGGGTCTTCCCAGGCTTATGTGAATATATATCCACAACTGAAGATTTTCCACCAGCTTTATTGTAGATATCCATAATTTCAAAGATGGACAACTTGTCCACATCATCCCATTGAACTGCAACCCTCTGCCCCCCAAAATATTGAACAAAAGGCGCCCATTTTATCTCTCCCCCAACTCTAACATCAAAGCATGCAGCCATCCTACATACAAACAATATGAACATGATCAATTTAATTGGTTAATGCAGTTGATAATATAACAAAAGTGACCACATTCAACAAACAAGCTTTGTGTGAAGGTTCAACCATACATAAACAAGCTTTGATTTCAAAAGAAGGGGAAGCGAACATTTGCTGGCACAGCAGGATAATACTAACAAAGCAAACTATATTTGCTGGCACATTTGCATTTCACATAAGGACATAAAGAACCCTAATTTGTCGTGGAAGCCAACCCTAATTTCTGACATACATAGACTACAAATTAGGGTTCAACAAACAACCCTAATCTCCTAATCTCATATAGGCATTCAACAAACAAGCTTTCAACCATAAATAAACAACATAGTAAACGACAATAAATAAGAAAGTACATGTCAAAATACCTTAGACAAAATCGCTCTGCAAGAACCCTAATTTGCCGTGGACTAAAAATGATGCATTAATTCTTCTTCGACCATATTGAAAGCTATTCAGAAGTCGCCATCGACCTCAGATTCAAAGAAGTTCCTCGTCGACCTGAGATTGAAATGATTTAGCAGAGTTGTTCGAATGTTCAATTGGTGCAGTGTTGTGATTTTCGTGATTTTCGTTCAGTGTTGTGAGAGAGTGGTGTGAGACCACCAAGTTGAGCGGCAGTTCTAATACGAGGGCATAATGGGGAGTTTACAAAATTATTAACGGTGTTTGGTGTATGGGGAGCGTGATCCGTCGACATTAAAACCTAAGGGGGTATGGTGCAGTTTTGAAAACATAGGGATAAAACGCGCACATTTATGAAAACACACGGTGGGGTTTGGTGCAATTATCCCTTACAATCATAGATAGTTCCATTTAATCTAGCCGAGTCCCTTGGAGAAACTTCCACTTCTCCCCCAAACACTGTAAGCCTGTACAGAAGCTCGAATGGAGCTTGCCCATTTTTCTATCGCCACAAACTACGTCGTTTCACCCACACCACCACCGGTACCTGCAGCCGGAAGTTTCTCTCCTCTTCCAGTTTTTCCGGTCATTCCAAGAACTTCCGGCCCTTTGTTGGCTTCGAAACCCACAGGTACACCAATTTCACCCTTTCATTTGTGGCTTCGAACTCCATTTCTTTATTTTTCTTCGGGTGGATTCAAAATTTCTGTCAATTTTAGCAAGAAAAGTGGAGTCTTGGAGAGATTGGAATAGAAATACAGAGGATAGGTCTCATCTTTTATTCATTAATGGTACAGCTGCCTTACTGACGAATGTTGATCTTTTTAAAGTAATCAGAATGAGTAGAAAATTTGCCTTTATTTAGTGTACTATGTGAAAATTATGTCTTTAGACTGCTCGGGGTGAAAAGCCCTTCGACAAATACTACATATAACCACCCATTTTCGTATATGAAGTGTTGTGTTACATCTTGCTGACATTTGGCTTTATGTAGAAAATTTGGCTTTATGTAGTGGATTATGTGAAAGTTATGTCTTTAGAGTGCTCGGGGTGGAAAGCCCTTCGACATAATACTATATACAACCACCCATTTATGTATATGGAATTTGTGTGTAATCCTGCTGACGTTTTTTCTCCGGAAGCATACTTGAGTGTTGACGTAGTGTTATTACTAAGCTTCCTTTCGAGTGTATTGAAGTTTCTTCCTTTCGAGTGTAGGCCTTCTTTTCAGATCGGAGAAAGTTAGATCACGAAATTCCTTTCGTGCTGCTAGTTCTAGTAATACAGCAGCTTCAACAACTGAATTGGCTCGAGAACATAAGGATGGATCGATTGAGGAAAACGACGAGATGTTAGATGATCATAGAATGGTACGAATTTGCGATAAACTAATCGAGGTTTTCTTGTTCGACAAACCCACACCAACTGATTGGAGAAGGTTATTGACTTATAGCAAGGAATGGGACAATATTCGGCCCCACTTCTATAAGAGATGTCAGGAGAAAGCAGATAGTGAGAACGATCCTGGAATGAAGCATAATTTGCTTCGGCTTTCAAGAAAGCTGAAAGAGGTATAACCTTTTTCTTTTTCCCACATCGGGAATGGGTTAACACAAGTTGCAAGACATTTTTCTGGTGAAAATTTTGGCCATTTTTAAAGTCAAGTTCTTGATCAAGATGAACAGATTCCAGAAGATCGAGTTTTATTTTATTCTTTATCTGTGTTTCTTCAAGCGTATGATTCTTTTTGCTGACTTTTTAGTTTTACAATTATTTTGAAGCTCCATTTAGGAATTAACTCAACAAATTCTTTCCAGATTGACATAGACATACAAGGGAACAACGAGCTCCTTGATGTAATCAGAAAGTCTCCATCCGAGATGGGTGAAATTGTAGCCAGGCGTCGAAAGGACTTCACCAAAGAATTTTTCATTCATCTTCATACTGTGGCAGAATCATATTATGATAATCCAACAGAACAAAATGGTCAGGTTAACTTATTGCATTTGCAAAGTATTCTTTTTAGCAACCTTACTTTTGTCGATGAAAAATTTGTTAGATTTCTGTGAATTGGGAATTAAGTCTTCAGTAACAACAGTCATATTTGAATGATTCTTTGTGTTGCAAGTAGTAGAATGCTTTACGACGTGAAATTTTGGAGGGAACTAAAAGGATATTCTAGTTGGCAAATTGGCCTTGTAGTAAATTATTTTACATATGAATTATCTCTGGTATAGGTACAAGTAAATAGAAAAGTGAAAATTTTTAGTAATATCCATTTATTTTTAATTAAAAAAAAATACTGGGTATGTTGTTGTTGTTGTTGTTGTCCATTTATTTTTATTTAGTCCGATTAAGGCATGGGGAGTTAAAAATGGTTTGATACTACAGTTTTGGTGTCAACTATTTTTCTTGGTTGAAAGTCTCACTTGATTGTCAAAAATTTTGCCAAAGTTAAGTGTATGAGCTGACTTAATTTTCTGCTACATTCCTGATATGAGATTTGTGATAACACAAGTTATAAATAATTTTTATACCAGCTTATTCTTTGGCGTTAACATGTTTCCTTCTCTTTTCGGGTGAATAGAGGTTTCAAAGCTTGGGAATACGTGCTTAGCTGCTGTAGAGGCATATGATAATGCAACTGAAAGTACGGAAGCATTAGAAGCTGCAGAATTGAAATTCCAAGACATAATTAATTCTCCTTCGGTAGATGCTGCTTGCCGGAAGATTGACAGTTTGGCCCAAAAAAATCAGCTCGATTCAGCTCTGGTTCTCATGATTACAAAAGCTTGGGCCGCTGCTAAGGAGACAAACTTGACGAAAGATGAGGTAAATGGGTAGTCGCATCACATATTGCTCTTTATTTTATATATATATATATATATATATATATATATTTTTGTACAGACTTGTATTTTAGCACTGAATTAATATTGCATAATTGCATCACAATCTTGTTAATGTCAAAGTACATTACAACATCTATGTAAACTTAATGATTTTTTCTTCTTCTTTTTTTTTTTTTTAATTTTCTGTTGCAGGCGAGAGATGTGGGGTATTATCTATATAAAACATCAATGCATCATCTCCAGAAGCGCGTGCCGAAAGAAATCAGGATAGTCAAGTATTTGCTCAAGATTGAAGACCCTGAAGAGCGGATGAGTGCTTTAAATGACGCTTTTGCCCCTGGAGAAGAACGGGAACATGAAGAAACGGATGTTAAAGGCCTCCACACGTATGTAATCGAACCCTAACCAAAGCTCTTATTAAAAACCACACACGAACTTAGGAAAGCAGTAGTAACTTAGGCTGCGATTCGACATGAGTCATAACCGATTTTAGTCGGTTTTAATTGATTGGGTTATTTTATTTTATACCAATCAAAATCAAACCCAACCCAACTCTCCAACATTTTACCAATATAATTAAATAAGACAAAATTGCATTTTTAGTTATGTTGGTTTAACGATATAGCAATTTAGTTCCAGTGTTCCAACATTTCTCTTTTTGGTCTGTGATTTAATATTTTACTGTAATTTTAGTCATTTAAGTGCTGAAATTGCAAGAAATTCTCAAATTCTCATATTTTCGATTAGTAATTTAAGTACTGTAATTTAAAATTTTGTTGCAATTTCAGTACTAAAATGATTGAAATTGCAGCAAAATATTGAATCACAGGACCCAAAAGACGAAAAGTTTGAATCTGGGGATTAAAATTGCTATTACGTTGAATCAACAGGACTAAAAATGCATTTTTGTCATTAAATAATATCATCCAGTCATCCTCACCCATTACATCAACTTTAATTCACTATTCATCCACTTACATAATTTTAACTACTCATCACTTCCAGTCACATCTCCCCTACTTTTTACATGAAATCATCTTTAATCGTTTTATTTTAAATATTATTTTAATCCAAACTCAAAATCATCAACTCAATTAACTTTATTCAAAATAACACATTTTAACCAACCAAAACCGGTTGGATTCATATCCAATTACGCCCTTAATTAATGATCTTATTATTATCTGATAAGTTGCATAAGGTGTTTCGACTTTCAATCATTTTCCAAATTCGTTGTTTTTTTTTTTTTTTTTTAACAGGACCCCTGAGAAGCTGCACGCCAAGATTAAGAGCGTGGTTGATGCGTATTATTTCAGCCAAGAGGGCACTCTCGAAAAGGAAGCTCGGGATTTAGTGAGACCCGTAATCATCCAAAAAATGGAGGAACTGAAAAAGATAATCCAGGATAACTTCATGTGAGCTTCATATCCTTATCGAGTTTTTTTCTGGACAAGTTTCATGAGTTTATGAAGCCCAAATGAGGACTGCATAAGATTATTTGCAGGTTTAGAGTGTAAAGTTAGGAAATGCTCTCAAGGGCACATTGAAACTTGCAAAGAAGCAACATTTTGTGGTGAAATGTTTGTGTAAACCTGTTACATTTTATTTACCTGTTACATTTTGTTTAGTTATTAGAGAAAATTTGTTATACAAAATGTCAAAAGTTCTACGTGACACTGGACAGTTGTTTAACACAAAATGTCAAAAGCATCGTTTGTTATCATTAACGAAATGAGGATTTTGGTTTGACTCGACTCATTAACGATTAAGCTCAATTAGTTAGCAAGTAGAGCTGTTAAGGCTAAAAAATATATATATTTTTTAATCTAATGTTCTATGTTTGCTCGCTAAAACTCGAGTTTGGCACATCAATATTAATAAATGAGCTGAGCTCAAACTTGTTTATAAATTCGTACAGAGCCCGGCTCATCTCGACAAACGCTCGAGCCCAAGCTCAAATATAAGCGCTCGAGGACTACAACACCCAGTATGGGTAGATAGTATATATCTTCGAATTTAAAGTATTTTTATTTTATCTTAGCTATTTATTGATGCTCGAAAATGCAGTGTTTTGTGACCCGGGACCCGGTCGACCCGGAGCCAGAACCGGTCCGGGTGGGTTAATTGGACCGGGCAACAACAGACCCGGTCAAACTCGGTCAAAACCCGGTCGACCCGGCCTTGACCCGGTCGACTCGGGGCATTGACCCAGCTGGGTCAACCCGGTTGACCCGGTCTATATGTATTTTTTTTTATTTTTTTTTTTGTTTTTTAATTTTCTTTTTCTTTTTAAAAAATAAATTTATGTATATATATTTATATGATAAATATATACATATTATTATTACTATTTTAATCTACAAAATTTTACATACAAAATATTTAAATTTGTTATTTTTATGTCTCCCCCTTACATATAAGCAAAAATGTAAGGGATTGTGGCGCTGACACGTGTCAATTTTTTCGGACTAAAATACCTCTGTTTTTGGCTTATATTTACAGCTTTTTGCCTACAGTCAATTATTATTTTTTTTCTCGATTTATTGGGTCCAAGTGCCTTTTCCACAATTCTTATAGGTCAAAGATTGAGCAGATCTTTTTTTTTCCTTTTTCACATAATTCTCTTCTTCCTTTTTTTCACAAAATTCTCGCACAAGCAACTAGACAAGACAGGAGCAGGTAAAACTTCCCCTTCACAGACCTGTACCCAAGCAATCCGTACCATTCTCAACTCTCAAAAGGGTACAACAACTCACATATTTCACGGGATTGAGGATGCACGCACGACGGCACGAGGACTAAGTCGTGAAGAAGCATACTGGTACTCCGATCGTCGGCGTTTTGGGAGTGAGAGGGCGCCGTGAGAAAGCCGGTGTTGAGCTCCAGAAACAGAGAAACGCCAATTCTCAGATCACCATTGTTGGCTCCAAGGTTTATCCTATCGAGATCCTCAATCACTAATGCGACTTACCTTAATTAAGATTCTACTTTTTGCTCGCTGCTTTAGTCTCTTGGTTTAGCTCGATTATATGTTGGGGAAATGTGTGCTTTAAAGTTTAATTGATGTCAGCTTCGGATTGATTTTCTAATTTCCTCACCATAATTTTGATTCATCATGTAGTTGCGATTTTTAAAATAAATTTTTGCATTATTTAGCTAGGTTGCTTCTGGTGGTGTAACTTGGCCCTGGTTGCACATATCTGATTCATGTGTAAGATTTTGTGGGTTTTTAGTAAAATTTGGTTCACATCCTGGAATAGCCAACTGTTATGCATCTCTTGTTGTAAGAATTTACAGGATTCATGTTGCTGTATTTTTGTGGTTGTGTTCCATCCTAAACATAATTGCAGTAGTCAGATGAAAGCTGATTTTTCTTGGATCCTGTATCTGCTTTTGCAGGATACTTCAAAATGAACTCATTAAGCAGGACTGGAGATCTCAGAAAAAGATCCAGGTTTTTCAGTATATACTTCTAAATGGACACTGGTTCTTCTCATCGGAGTTATGATTTGGTCGAATGTGGGTGTTGTATTATTTTCAGGTACAACCGGACAACTATGATATAGTGAGGGACGTACTATTCGAGGGGAAGTATCAGTGGGTTCGTTTACACCCTTAATTGAAAGTGATGTTCAAAGGAGAATAAAAGGCCTCCTTTTCTATTCCTCTTATAAACTTATGTTTTTATTTTATTTTAGAAACCTTCTAGGTGGAGATAAGATTTTAACTTAATTGAGCACACATTAGACCAGATATGTGCTTAAAGAGACAGACACCACACATGTAATAAATCGTATGAGATCGTCCTATGATCAGATTACAACAAGAGAAGGTTCAACTTTTTTCTTAAGACATTACTTGAATGCATTAGTTTTGCAGTAACTTAAGAATGTGCTATTGAAAAAATAATCTCTCATATCAGAAGAGATATATCAATCTTACAAGTTTGATTTTTTCACATTTCTAGGTTTGTGCGAATTTTGTAATTCTGTAGAGAGGAACTATTATTGAGAAACTCGCAAAAGAAACTTTGAGGGACTGGAATCACCTCAGGGAGTTGTTATCTATCTGCGAAGGTTGGTCAAATTCTCATTCTCATCATTTGTTTTTTAATCTGATTATATAGTTAGCTAACATAACAAGGCCATGTATGTATGCAATTCTTTAACTTCCACATAGCGCAAAAGCAAATAGGGGAGACGGCACTGAATGAAACCAGCTCTAGATCCCATCAAATTCTAAGACTTGTTAGCTCTCTTCTCACGCTTATTCCAGTCTCTCTCTCACACACACTCACACACACTGATTGAATAAGTTTGAGTCCTCACAGTTGGCTCTTTTTTTATCTGATTTCTCCAGACAATTGAACATTCCGCTCTGCTCGAGAATTTATTGGAAAAGGCAACTCGACCACCCTTTCTGCTAGCGTGGTGGAGCAACATTAAAATATTGATAATTCCCCGCATACATGCTACTTACTGTATGATATAAGTACACATATATTATTTAGATTTTAATTGTTTCATATCTTCGTGCAGAACTTTGTTGATCTAGAAGGAAGTGAACGAGAATCTCAAGTATTATCCGTGGGGCAGAGGCTCAAAGAAGATTGCCATATAAACTGTAGTTTATTAACTTTGGGTTACTGTTTTCAATATTGGCTTCAGGTTGAAGTTATGAGGCTACATTTATGTGCAGTGTTTTGAAGGAAGTTTTCTCTATGCTTATGTCAGTTTTATTAATTCTGTGATTTGCTAACATCGGTGCACCCATCTCATTCATCTATTTTATTTTTTATCTGTTGCAGTTAAATGATGATAAAAGTCCTTTCCAGAGAACATTTGTTAATCAGGTATTATTTAGCAGTTTGTTGTTGATAAGTGCAAGATACTGCTCAGGTATCCTCTTTTCAGCTTGTGGGAAGGTGAAACTTGGATATAAGTTAAGTACTCTAGGCAATGCTAATATATCCTCCATTTCTTTTATTACTTTCAAGCTCCAATGCACCTTACATGACTAAACTTAAGATGCAAATAACTTGGGATAGGTTTATGTTGTTTTTAGTAGACACTTGAACTTTAACTGAAATATATCACTAGACCATAAAATATATTGACGATAAAGCTCATGCAAACTGTAAACACTTTGAAAGCATTGGTGCTTGTGATGGTTGGTGATCATGTTGTAGCTACTTTGGTTCATGGAGATGTGGTGGCGGTGTTATCCAAGAAAAAAGCTTGGATTTTTGTTAGGAGGGTCTGTAAGAATATTTGTGAAGCTTGCTCTTGTGCTTTATACTTTTTTGGATTTTTTTTTTCTTTTCCTTTTTTTTTTTGAAAAACAAAAACATTTTATATTAGGGTGTTGGTCTAACATTTGATGAATTGTTTGCAAAATAGTTTGGTTCGGCTTGGTAAAACTCGAGCCTCAATCATTCATTTTGTAAATTACGTCAACAAAATGGATATGTTTAGAACGACTCAACCAAAATAAAAAGAAATATAATACCCTAAATGGTGATTAGAATTTAATTTAGTGTATGAATTTGATAAATTAGAGTTTGGTGATATTCCAATTCACATATTTTTAGAATTTGATCAATTTAGTGTTTTATTTTCTTTTTTTTTTTTAACCTACTATGATTGTAATGGATAAGTTGAGTAGTTGACTACAAGAAAATAGAAAAAACCTAAAGAAAAAAAAAGTTCATCAAAATTGAATTATTCATTTTCAAAATACTTCAGTTTGTCAAACTGTTTCAGATTAGACACCTACAAAGCGTGGACAACAAGAAACTATGAGAATTTGTGTCCAAATTGCACAAGCAATAAGAAAGCATTTTATTTGGATTATGTGATTTTTGCCCTTTTATTAAACTGGTCCACATTTTGCAGAACAATTTGAACCCATTTTACATCATAAGATAAGGGGCGTTACGGAACCACCCCGTCGGGAATTTTAACCGTTAGATACTAACTACATGTGTATCCAACGGTTAAAACTCCTGAGGGATGGTTCCGTAACGGGACCATAACATTTCCCTAAGATAAGATTACGCAATGAAATTTGGAATATCATAGATTCCTGACAAACCACCATGCTAAGTTGTGAAGGATGGTGGTTATGGTGGCGCTTTGGCCCCATGGAAAGATTTTAGCCTGCTGTGCTGCCATTAGAAGTCATCCGCCGTTGGTAATACTGGTATATGGACTGCTCTGGAGGTTCACATCTGCAGGTTGTTAGAGTGATAACATGCGCTGATGCATCCTAATTCTAGATAATGTGTAAATCTCGAGATTTTCATGAAGACTTGCTATTGCAACGAACAATTAGAATCTCTTGGATTTTATAGGTCGTGGTTCATTTCACTTATTCACTAGGACAAAGTACAAAAATATAGTTCCTCAGTTTCAGCTTTTTGAAGTTGGTATTAAATGCATTAAATGTGTTGGGTTTTCAAAATTAATGGGGTGTAATTATGTTCACGGGAGACTTCAGGCTTGTAATGTATGTGTTCTAAAGTCATGTTGTGGAAGCATGGAATGTTGATCCATTTTTCTTATAGAAAAATATGGCTAAAAGAGAACCTTTAAATGTGTTTATATAGTATTGACGGTAGAACTAAAAAAATCAAAACAAAATGTGTTTATTTAGCATTTAATGTTATATTTTTGTAGATATCTTTTGGTTGAAACAACAGCTGCAAAGGGTTATAGTTATTTGGATATCAAGTTAAACACTGTCGTGTCTGCTATACTATGATATAAACTGACAGTCAAATAATAAAACCCGAGTATTGTTCATACAATGGTGATCTTATGCATGTTATTTGTGTAAATGATTTTGGCTTTGTCTGTTATCATAATGATTCTTTTCAAATTACCTTATATCATGGAATTGTACTTATACTGCCCATTCATTCATGTATTAGCTGGTGTCAATGTAATTTAAAATTTGTTGGACCTTGGTAGTAGTATTTCAAAATTTTCATATATTCGAATTCTTTGGACCATACATTATTAAATGGAGAGAACATATCTGCAAGGAACCCACAATTCCGACAATGATTTCCTATTTTAAATTAAAATACTACCAGTTGAAATATTTAAGAGTCATTGGTTATTATCTATGCGTTTCATAGAATATGTTCAATTTTTTTCATTTAGTTTTTGCATAAGCCCTTGATTTGTTATGTTAAGACACATAGAAAGCCAATGCATTTACTCTTGGTTTAATGTCTCACTCGAATGGAGTCTGACAGTTGAAACCTATGTCGACTGTTTCAGGGATAAGCTTGAGCTAAAATGTTGTCCAAGGGGAGAATTGTCCGATGAAGAAGACCATGAGAAGTACTGGTTGACTTTTCACGGAAGGGTCTAGAGCAGGATGTGTTCCACATGCCTCAACAATCTGATGCCTCTGCACCACAATCCGAAGACACAGATGGTGGTGATATGTTCATAAATAGTACATCCCCTCTAGCTGGCACTCTATGCTTTTATTGTTAGGTACTATGGCTTTTAGTTGGGTACCTTTGTTTGTTCTGTAAGTAGATTCTTTAGAAAATCTTTTGATGACATGTTCATGTTTTGTCATGATTTTACACCATTTCCGAAATATTTTTTGCCACTGGTCACTTTATTTCATTGCATGTATGATAAAGGTAGAGTATGATAATATTTTATATGAAGGATAAAAAATGAACGACACTTGATCTCACCTACACTATAATGCCGGAGAGGAAGACCTTCGATGAAAAATTTGTTCGAATGTGTACCAAACGGCTTTGTGAGCTCACGTCGGCTGCTAATAACCTACACCTAAGGCCCACAAGTCGAGTCGTACACTTGCAAGGGTGATTGCAACTTCTAGAATTTTAATGGTGAACCAAGAACTTTCTTTTTACATTTTTCTTTTTATTGTTGGATATTTATTATGTTGTGAGACTCTTACTTATGGATTAATATCAAGTAATTTCAATCTACTTTTATAAATGTTTCCAAATGCATCTGTACTCTTTGAGTCGGGCAAATATATGGATAAAGTTAGACAAATTTTAAGTTGAATTTTTTTGTAGCCGACAAAAAACCCATAAATATTTCACAATAATAAGCTAAACTCGGGCCGGCTGTGCGTGCACAGCCAAAGAGCGACTAGTATATTTGTATATCACAAAATACTCTATATATAATTTTATAAATTTTAAAATTAATTATCCGGTTCAGCAATTGACCCGGTGACCCGGCGGTTGAACCGGTGACCCGGTGACCCGAAGACTTGCCCGGGTCGATTACCGGGCCGGGTTTAAAAACTATGCGAAAATGTCAACAACAGAAAATGAATTGTACACTGCTCTGTGTACTTAATTCACAAGAATAAATACATGATTTTAGGTATACAAAATCATCAACCAAAAGATCAAAGATGAAGCTCACTTTTTATTGATATATTTTGGAGAATTTTCGTACTCATTTCTCGACGATCCCCTTTTGGATAAGGTCTCTCTCCTTTTACTAACTGTAGCCAAGTATTTATATGGCATAACAAGTGGTCATTGAATAATGAGAAATAAAATAATACAAATGATATTTTAATGTGATGTTCCCGCGTGAGGCCCAATTATGACGTTTGACGGCTTCGATTGACGTCTGTATTATCTGTAATGTGTATCCTCGGAAGACGGCTTTATTACGGCATACGGCTCGGGCTGGGGATATTGAATTCTGTTAGGGTTTGATGTGGATGACATCAGCGTTTGAGGACTCGGTCAATATGAAATGATCATCTCAAAGAATCTGCTGATTGTATATTTATTTATTACATATTATAGCCCATGTTATTTTTTCACGTGCCGCTCTTTGATCGAGTGCAACCAAATTGGGTACCAACTCTATTTTTTATTTTTTGCCCTATTTCAGTTACGTCCTTTTTTTTTCTTGGGTAATTTCTTAATTACTTAGGAAATTAATGTCATCATACAACTTTTTTTGACTTTTCATGACCTGGCCTTAGATATGATTCTAGACCATTTATAAAAAAAAAAAAAAAACCAAATTATATTCACCAAATCAAATTACAAAAAGGCATCTAGATTAAGAACCCAAGAATCACCGGATCATAAATCATAATTAAAAACCATAATTTTCAGCAAATCATGGAAAGCAATGAATTCAAACGCATTTTTTTGACGCTTTTCAATCATCATTTAAGACAATCATGAAAACGGTCAACTCTACTAACCATTCTAAACTGTTTGGTGGTAATGTATCGTTTTTTGTGGAGATTTTCGACAAAATCTGTCAGTCATTTCAAAGGAGAACCGTCAAGAGATCGTTTATGCTTCAACCATTTGGCGAGATTGTACAGTGTTTAGGCTAACAAAGAACATGCATCTCCAGAACCTTGACGATTTGCATGAATGTGACGATCTGAATACATTTGCTGATTGGATCGCTAGCAACGAAGATGATACTATAGGACATGTGAATGATGGTGTGTTTCGATTAACATACTAGACGATTTATTACTAGCACATGATGGTTTCATGGTTGAAAGCATGTATCAAATGTTCAAGAATGCAACGGAAGATCCAAGTTATTTAAAAGATAGAGCTATACTTGCACCGACCTTGGAGATTGTGGAGTCTGTCAATCAATACGTATCGTTGAATTTCACAAAAGGTCGTATCAATTTAAGTTGCGACAATACGTGTAAATTCGATTTGAATTCGAACTCTTTTTTTGAAACTCCACACTCATGAGTTCTTGAATTCTCTCAAATGTTCTGGGACACCAAATCATGAGTTACTTTTGAAAGTAGGAACTCCGGTGATGTTGCAAACATGGACAATTCTATGGGATTACGCGATGGGACACGCTTGATTGTAACCAAACTCTCCAGCCATTTCGAACTCTCTAGTCATGTCGTCGAATGTAGAATACTTATCGGTGACCACGCATGGATAAGGTGTTGATACATCGGATGACGATGACTCCTTTAGACGCAATAATACCTTTTAAGTTTCAAATAAGGCAATATCCTATTGTTTTTTTCTTATGCAATGACGATTAACAAGAATCAGAGTCCAATTCTTATCGCACGTTGGTTTGTTATTGAAGAAAAAATTGGTTTTTAGTCATGACCAATTATACGTTGTTGTCTCACGCGTCACCAATCAAAAGGACTTGAAAACTCTAATATGTGGTGAACATGACTTGACACGAAATCATGCTAAAAATGTTGTGTATAAAGAAGTTTTTTAATAATATATGATTATTCATTGTTCGCATTCATTTTATAACATATTGAGATGTTAAATCTAAAGAACTATATTTAAAATAAAGTCTTAAAAAAAGTTCTAAGGTATGCACTCATTCGTGCATCGCACAGGTTACGCATTGATTAGAATTACGTGCGCATTGCTTGTATATGTGTGCCTAAACAACCTTGTCGTAGCCCAAAAGGTTTAGTCTGTGAAGTGTGAACAAACTCACCTAACATAAATCCTTGATTGATTGGACTGTGTGGAGCGATCCCCCACAGTCGAGGCCCACCTCAAACAAGTTCTCAGCATCATGATTCCTTTAGAAAGCATCGTTTATGTTTATGTTATTAACGAAATGAGTCGCTCGTGACATTGGTTTGACTCGACTTGTTAACGATCAATCCAAACATAAACTCGAGCTCGTTTAGAGATGTTAAGGCTCAAAAATATTAATTTTATTATGTAATATTCTATAGTACGGCTCGCTAAAGCACGAGTTTAGCATATCAATATAAATAAATTAACTGAGCTCAAACTCGTTTATCGACTCATTCAGTTATGGAGTCTCATTTTAACAAGCGCTCGAGTCCAAGCCCAGGTATAGGCACTCGAGGACTACAAAAGCCAGTATGGGTACATTTAGTATTTACCTTTTTTTTTTTTTTTGCAATTTCTTTATTACTTGGGAATTTAATGTCATCATATAACTTTATTTACTTTTCATGACCTGGTCTTGAGATATGATTCTTGAACATTTTATAAAAAAATAATAAATATAAAAAAAAATTATATTCACCAAATCAAGTTACAAAAAGCATCTAGATTACGGACACAAGAATCTTCGGATCATAAATCATAAAAAATAATTAAAGAACAAAAAAAAAAATGAGATAACAAGGAACTTTGATTGTATATAATAGACCCTCGTATTGAGCTGCTTGCCTAGTTTAGTTGCCTTTGTGACTTGTGAGCTATATTTCATTTTTCCATCTTTGCAGCAGCGATTAACGTCGTAATCTGAAACGAGCAGTTTTCCAAATTAGGTGCCATCTATTGGACGATAACATTAACACCTTGTTAATTAACGTGTTCGTAACATACCTGTCTGGTAAGTCGAATCGAAATCCTATTATTTCGTGTTGTATTCTTGTGGTCAATTGTGTTAGCAGTACTTCAAAACTTCAAATGCATAAAAAGTTATTGAATTTTCTTACTTGAATACAGTTTTGTACATATTGTAGTCCCAATATGTACATTAACATGTAATGTGGATGTGGTTTGTATGTACACTACCACTAACACAAATGCTGCTAATATTACATTGTCTAACTGTTAGACAATCATACTTTTCGACAAAAAAAACTACATATTTATATTATAAAATGTCGTAATAAAAGACACTGAATATGTAACTTTATTTACTCATCAAGTTATTAAAAGGGACTTATTGGCAAAATACAATCTGATCAAAGATTGCAATAATAAGCATAGTTATTGACAGATGAAGGAGAACAATTGTTTGCCTGTAGGCTAAGTAACTGGCTTTTAAAACTGGAGAATGACATTTAAATTAATTTTACATTATTGTTCAAAAGATTTGCTGATGAGTTATTGCCAGTTATGTTCTTTTTATCAACTAAATGTTTGTGACTTTATTCCTATGGTTGTATAAATATAAGGAAACGATATGGTCCCGTTACGGAACCATCCCGTCGGGTGTTTTAACCGTTAAATCATCTATCTTACACTAACTACATGTATATCCAACGGCTATAACTCCCAACGGGATGGTTACGTAACGGGACCGTAGCATTTCCCATAAATATATACAAAATTTTAGTTCAAAACATTGTATATTTATTGCACCACTAAAAAAGCTGCTCTGGCTGAAGCCAAAGAAAATAAAATAAAAAATAATTTTTCCACTCAGGTATTTTTACATGTCAATTAAAAAAAAAAAAATTATTCATGAAATTGAGAATGTGCTTGCATATATATTTTGGTTTAATTTTTATTTTGATGAAATGCATTTAATTTTTGAATTAATTCCCTCTCCAAAAATGAAGATTTTTATTATTTGTGCTTCATATACAGGAGCTGTTCGAGGACTGCAACAGCCAATATGGGTATATTATATATACCTTCTAATTTTTTATTTTTTTTTTTTAATTTTATCTTAGCTCTTCACATTTCACACAATAACTACGATTGTCACCATATCCTTGTATCCTTAAGTATTATAAATATACAGACACAAGTGAAGAAAAAAAAAATAAAGAAAAAGAAAACACTCGCAATTCAAATTCTCAATATTTTGGCAAACCAAAAACTAAATAAATAAATAAATTAAAAGGTATTTTTCATATTTGTTCAAGGCAACATGTTGAGCTTCTTCAAGAGAAAGAAGAGGCCACTGACCGAACCCGACCCTAAGTCTGACGACCCAAAAACCGACAAAACCCGCGAAAACATACCCAACAGGTGGCGCCTCCTGAGCGGCCAAACCAGCGAATGGGCCGGCCTGCTGGACCCACTGGACCCAGACCTCCGCCAATACATTATCCACTACGGGTCCATGGCCCAATCGACCTACGACTCGTTCAACTCCGAGAAAGCTTCCAAACGCGCGGGAAGCTGCAGATACCCGAAGCACGACTATTTCAACAAGTCGGGCCTTCGAGAGGCGAACCCGTTGGAGTACGAGGTGACCAAATACCTGTACGCCACATCATCTTCCAAGCTGCCCGACTCGTTCATAATCAAGTCCCTGTCGAGAGAGGCCTGGAACAAGGAGTCCAACTGGATGGGCTTTGTTGGTGTGGCCACGGCCCGTGGGAAACGGGCCTTGGGCCGTAGGGACATCGTTGTGGCTTGGAGGGGCACGGTCCGTGGGCTCGAATGGGTTAATGATTTGGAGTTCATGCTTAGGCCCAGCCCAGATGTTATGGGAGGAGACGAGGGGCCCAAGGTACACCTTGGGTGGCAATCGGTCTACACCTCAGACGACCCGAGGTCCCGGTTCAACAAAAAGAGCGCTAGAGAGCAGGTATAATAATGTATGATCTATATATTTAGAATATCCTTAGTAGAAAGTAGGCAAAAATTGTTTATGAAGGCACCACAGTTTTTGCAATTTAATCACCACCTTTTATTATTTGCGTTTAAGCTCGTTTATCACTATTAAAGAGCCTTAACGAGCCAAAAATCGAGCTCGAGTTCGGCTCGTTTATCCCTATTATCGAGCCGAGTTCGAGCTTTAACAAGCCGACTACAAAAACTGATATAAAAATTCTTTTTACTAGCCTTAACGAGCTACTCGGCTCGTTAACCAAATGAGCTCGAGTTCGACTCGTTAATGCCTCAATCTCAAGCCGACTCGAATCTTAACGAACCGAGTCAGGCTCGTTTAATTTAACAACTCTATTTACGTTTAAATAATCGCCTTTCATATGCTTTGCAGATCGAATCGTAAATTTACTTTTGTTAGATTGGAGTTGGCAGGCATCGATGAAACATCTACGTGACTGACTTGGTACAAACAAGAAGTTAAATTTATGTTTTGATCTGCAAAATATAAGAAACAAAAGGTGGTGATTAAATTGCAAAAGTATAGTATTAAAGTTGGTGCCTGCACATGCAATTTCTCAAAAAAAAAAAAAA